AAAATGCTTGGAATTTCTTGAGTAGCTGCACAATTGGCAGCTACTCAAGAGGGGTCCAGCTTCATAAGTGAGTGAGTGGGTGTTGTGTAAATTAGAATAGTTCAGGGTTGTGTAACAGTGAACACTGTAGCGTGTCACAAAACATTTACACTTCAGAACATACCGTGGGGAACTTGACACTTGTTATCGTAATTACAGTTCAGCTGTAACATCCGTTCCTGGTTCGTATTCTGCGGGTTCAGTTTATATTCACATCACAGAGATGACATGGATTGTACCTTCGAATGAAAATTCTTTTGTCATACATTCTTTCGTTGAGAGACAGCTAAAAGTATGTTCTTTCGTCGAACACTGTTTCTCCCATACGGAGAATCGCAGATAAACTTTTAAACATAAAATGTGTTCCTGATGGAAAGAACGTTACAGTGAATATGTTGAAAATGTCTAAGGGTAAAAAGCCTTTCGAAAATTAGGAACAAGCACTTTTAAAGCTTTTATGTCAGATAAGCGAACTACCCTTTTCTCTCAAATGGTGTATCATATTGTCACGTGTGGAGGTTTATTCGTGACATATAAGATGGGCTTTGGATTTGATGACTAAATTTACTGACACCTTATAAACAAACAAAACAAAGAAACTCCGTTGTTTTAGTCCGCAAGCGAACTATACCGACCGAACAACCGCCGCTTTTCGGCGAAGTTAGTGCCAACTTTAGCGGATATGGGGTGTCGCGTGGTCAGCACACCGAATCCCCACGGCCGTTAATCTCGGTTTTCTAGACCGGAGCAGCCATTTCCTTGAAATAGCTCCTCAATTATCCTCACGAGGCTAAGTGGACCTCGTGTCAGACCCACTACTTCTCAGAAAATCTGGTAGCGAAGGGAATCGAACCCGGACCTCTGGATCTGTAACCAGGAACTCTGACCACTAGACCACAGAGGCGGTCTACATTTATAAAATTGGGGACTACAGGTAATAAAGCGCTATCGCTATTTCTACAAACTTTACGGTTCACCGTTACACTCCAACTAGAGGTCTCAGTCTTCACTACTCGTATCCTGGCAACGCATTTGAAATCCCACATGAATTCTTCTTTTCACATCCTAATTCCTTTCTTGCTATTATTCCACAACTCTCAATTCCGAAGACTCGACTCGACTCAACTGCATTCCTCTACTCCTAAGCTCATATCTTGGCAGGCTGCCGTCCCGAAACTCGACTAACTCTTCTCAGGTTAATTCTTCTTTATAAATACTTCACACGGACCACGCAGAAAACACAGCCTCTCTATCGTTGTAAAGGCGTGTTTACAGCGCTGTTGCATAGCAACGTAATTTACTCCATTATTGCTTGCTAATTCGTGACCGGGGAATTTGTTTACAGAGTCGTTGCCTAGCAGTGACCATCTATTCTGACTTCACTATTCCGGCTTTTTGTCGCCTTATCATAGTATAAACAGAGTTAACATAACAAGTGTTCCTCCCGATGAGGAGTGTTTGCATAACTAACCGACAGTTTAGAGAAGAGGCACAAGGTGGCGAAGTTGATGTCATCTCATATAAGGATCTGAGTGGTGTATGGTGATGTTATCGGAGTCGTGATTAGATGAGCAGAGGACTGAGAAGTTAAGCAATAGGAAGAATCATTAGCTTGCCGAAACATAAAACTCTCAGCATTTGACGCGATATAGTCCCGAAAACCATAGCGACCCATCTGTGTTTATGTTACGACTTCAACTGGAAATTTATGGAAGATTACATCTTTACCTAAAGATGGAGGCAATATGTTCTTACAAAACATCGGTTAAGTCCTACGAGTATACGCGGCGGCATATATCAGAAACGAGTAAGAACCTGAAGTCACAATTTACAGTCACTTGCGTTGTTCTGATAAGGTATGTTGTGTACATACCTTATGCCCTTTTCTCACTCAGCAGACTACAATAACGAAACCACCACCAGGCGAGCGAGTATGATCGTAACAAACGAACATTTAGAACGGATTTAACTGGAAATTACAGCCTGGTCTCCAGCTTTAATGACTGCTATACGGGACATGGATACTTCGAATAAAGTAGCTCGTATTTTCTTTTTATGTTCCTGCCGATAATATTAAACCCCCGTAGAGATGTCTAGAGGCCAATTACATCCAATTATATTTAATAATATAGGATTACGTTTCAGAGAAAGAGGACTAGGAGATTCTGGGAGGAATAAGTATAATATTTCTAATGAAATTAAATTCTATAGAAGTGAAATGACATTTTAGATCTCTGAACGTAGACGTCTATTCCCTTTAATATAGGACCAGTTCAAAATGTGAGTGGGCGGGTGGTGGGAAACGCAGGGGGAAATTATACAACACTTTAGTTACAAAACTTGAAAATAAACTTCTAAAAACTTGTTATAATATAGTATTTCTTGCCATACTTCGTTGCGAATTGCAATAAGTGACTATGGAGCCGAGCCCTTCTTGAGAAACCACCAGTCGCTCAGCTACGCAGTAATTTCCCAATATTTTATGGGGTCCGAATGTTCATTACCGCATTCACAAGAGCCCTTCATTGGTACATATATTGAGACCGATCAATCTAGTCCATAGCGCCCCATCCTGTCTCTCTATGATCCATTTCATCATCTTTCCACCTATGTCATGTTCTTTCTAATGGCATCTTTCCTTATAGTTTTCCCACCAAAGACTTTATGAATAGTTTGCCCCGTGCGTGCTACATTCCCTCTCCATTTAATCCTCTTTGACTCCATAATTCTAATTATATTTGGAGAAGAGTACAGGTTATGAAGCTCCTCATTATGCAGTTTTCTCCAACCTCCTGTCACGTCATCCCTCTTCGGTCCAAATATTCTCCTCAGACACCCTCAGTCTTTGTTCCTCCCTTAATGTCAGAGACAGTTTCAGAAGAATTTAAGCAGAGGCAGAAATATATCACAAGCATGGACATCATTTTTTTGCTGTAAAATATAAATATTCATAGAATTGTTGAGTTTTGGACTTTTTTCATCGTCCGATATTCTAGAGAATGGAAAACACGACGTTTCGGAAACTCGATCTGATTCCGATCTCTGGTGAAAGGAGGAGAAGACACCTGCTCAGTTAGGCCCCTTAGAAAGAGCTAATCTCAATCATTGGACAATGGAAGTCCAAAAACCCAGTAATTCTGAATGTTATACAACATCGTCAGAACCCTTTAGAATCTACCAATAAATATTCTTGTTTATTATAGTAAGTTACGGTTACTAAAATTGAAGTTTGCAATTCCTTCGCTTCTTATATTAATTAAATTAAGTTACTACAAGGGAAGATTATTCTGCCTGTCCGTTTAATGACTCTTTTGTTAGCTCAAGCTATATAGCGTCGAATAGTAGAATTACTGCTGTATGATGAATTGGAAAAAAAGCAGAAGGAAGCGGCCGTGGAATATTTTAAAGTACTATCAGGAGATTCATCAAAATGACTGAGAAGAACCATGAAAAATCTCTGGATAATCGGTGTTCCAGACGAGATCAGAATAGGTAAAGTTAACAAAAAAAATGTAAAGTTGCCCCTGTGCTCAACGAATTAAGCACTACGCCATGAAGGCGTATGGGGGAGTGGATGTATAGATCCATATTTTCTTGACCTCGGCACTAGCTGAAGGTGAGTGGTTAGCTTCACGCCTCTGCCGCTTTATCCCCGGGGAAAGAGCCTTCGTTACCCATTGGATAAGGGGTTGGGTGAACCCCAGAGCCGGTCTGGACTATTTAGGGAAGAGAAAATTCTTGACCCTACCGAGACTGGAACTCGCGACCCCCCAGTCGTCCAGCCCATAGGCAGTCGCTATACCGACTGAGTTACCTCGACTATTGAGATACGAACAGGGGATTACCAAAATGCAAGTGCGAAACATCATTACTTAAGCCAAATATTTTTTGGTTGAAGACTACAACATTCTGTTTCCATGTCTAATAAAATCTTTATAGACATGTCTATTATTCTTATTTTATCTTTTTCTCTTGCAGTTTCGTGACCTGTCATAAAAAAAGGTTCACAACAGGATACGTATAAGATATTTATCTCACTTGTACAACTTAAACTTTTTTGCCTTAAACAGTTATCGCTTCTGTTGGTATTGTATTTAACGATGGCGTAAGAACCAGTCACGTGCAAAAAAACAAAATTTTGAAAGAAAGGGAACAGATGTTCCAAATAATTCATGCTTGAAGTTGCTAAGGTGAAACTTCCAGAATGGATCTTCAATGTATATTGGCCAAACAGAACTCATTCTTTAACCAAACAATGCATGAAAATATGAATATTTTTCTACCCCATCAAAAAAAAAACAGTGGGCTTTTTAACGGTTCTTGCGTCAAATAATGCAGTGTATTGATTTTACATGGGCGTACTCATAGCCCATTTAACGAAATTGGCGTTTGATCGATTCTTGCGTCAAACTTCAACTTTCAGCTCAAACTAGAGCTGTAGTCCAGACTGGCTACTGGGCTTAAAAATATTCCACTTTAATAATAGTTCTCATTCACTCATGGAGCTGAGCCCTTCTTCAGAAGCCGACAATTGGGCAGCTACTTAAGAGCTTCCAACATTTTATGAAACTCGAAGGTTCATTACCGTGTTCACAAAAGCCCTCGCCTGGTCCCTATCCTGAGCCAGATCAGTCAAATCCTGCTCAGGATTTAATGATAGTTAGCGGACAAAATTGTATTTGAATCCTTGATGAGAGGAGCTGAGCACTTAACTTGTACACTGAATGCAGAAATTTCCAGGCAATAGAGTCAGAAACCATAAGGTAACTTTGTTTTTCATTTGGAACAAACATTTATAAGGACTTCAACAGAAGCTACTTCCACCTTGAAGAAAGAGGCAACAGCTTCGTCTGATATGATGGTAACCACAGTGTAAAAACCCAGAAGACCACAACCTAAATATTCACCATGAAAACGTTACATCTCGGATATTATATATAAGAAGACACGTGATGTCTTACCGGATTGGTCTGGTGAGTCGGTATCGTAGAGTCCGGGCGGTTTGGTTGCCCTGAAGGATGGTCTTCTGGACGTAGGAATTCCTGACGGGCTTGGGCCGTCTCCCGTTTCCACAGCGTCACCATTGCTACCATACCTGGGACAGTTATATTGAGGTCAGTGATACGTGTCTAACGTCAGGCCCTATGGATACATCTGACAAAAATATGCGAGGTGAGACAAAGAGAATAACACAGAAGGAATAACAAATGAAAGTACTTTACTATGGAAAGAGGAGAGGTAGAGGTACAACTCCGAGCATTCGCGATCCAAGTATTAGAGGAAAATAAGTTATCAGGTGGGCGTCACAGCCTCCCAGTAGTTGGAAGGGAGCGACATCCCTTTCCCTGCTAGGACGCGAATAATGAAAAGAAGAAGGGCGGAAAAATAGAAAGGAAAAGCGGAGGGTTAGAAAGAAAGAAAGAAGGAAAGGATAATAAGGAAAGGAGACCGTAGAAGGAAAAGACGGAAAGCAAGAAAGGAGAGAGACAAATAAAGAACGGGCAGGGACGAAAGAAAAATAGAAAATAATGGATGAGAGGTGGGAAAAGAAGAATGTAAAATAGAAGAAATAGAAAGAACGGAAGAAAATGAAGCCAGTGTCACTAGAGCGAGAGGGTAGGGGCGCCTGCGCGCGCCTCTCTTTCAACAAATATCGAGGCTCTCACATTCTCGATGGTTCTGAAAACTGCTGAAGCCGGAGGTTGGCCAAGAATGTGCGAGAGAGTTGTAGAATGACAGCGGTTTAGAAACGAAAGTCCCGCACGGACAGTTTGAAAGAAGTTGCCGAGGTGAGCGGACGTGTGTGAACAGCTTGAATGAGAGGAGAACGAATGCGTGCTCAAAATGGCAAGTTAGTGCAGTAAAAGACTGAGGAAGGGGACAGCGCTGTGATGTACAGCGAAACAGTAGTGGATAAAAGAATATGGCATGAAGAACTTGGTGGCAGTGAGACAGCCGCTGTTCCGAAACAAGAAAAACGGTAACACAGGAGAAGGAAGAGTGTTAATGAAAGAACGTAAAGGAAAAGATAAAGTATGGAGCAAAGAAGAACGAAAGGTGGAAGGACAAAAACAGCGGACCGATGCAAAGAAAAAATGAAATATAAAAGACGAGAGAGGAAGGAAGAAGAGAAAGAAAGGGCTTAAGAGAAAGGAAAAGTAAAGGCAGAAAAGCGGAGAGAAAGCAAGAAGGAGCGTAAGAGAGACGAGAAGAAAAGTGACAAAGAAAGGGAGACCGGAAGGAAGTACGAAAGAAAGGGAAATCGTAAGAAAAGATGGTAAATTAAAGAACAAATATGTGGAAAAATATGATATGAAAATGGACTGAAGGAATATGGAAAGCAACAAAGCAAAGACACGCACCTGACAGAGGACTGCTGACTCTGTTGTTGGCCTTGCTGCTGCTGTTGCCTGGATACATTGGCCACGGCCGCCGCCAATGCAACTGGGTTTAGGCCCCCGCCAACCCCCGGATCACCGGAGCGCACAGCATACACGTCATAAGCAGAGGCGCGTCTTGGCAACTGAACTGGCAGACCTGCGCAGACAAAGAACATGCTCCTTTACCAAGAACAACTTGGGCCAGTTAGGTACAAGTTATGTCCCGGTGGCCCTTGCAGAGTGATCACTGTTTAGTCTGCCTCTATATAGTTCGCACAAGGAACTCCAGATGATTACCTCAGTATATTAATCATTTCATTTAACAATTTACAGTAAGCCCACACGGCACATAGGCTCATGATTCACTAACAACCACACCGTCCAGTGTGATAAAATTTGTAGATATTTATAGCCTTTACAAATCTCGGTCAGCTGACCATCTTCAGAAGGCATAAGATCAACATGTTGATGAACTACTATTACAAAGTTCGAAATTATATGTAGAAATTTTTATATAGCAGTTTCTCTACAATTATTTGGATTAAAGCCTTATTAGTGTCTAATATTCTATAATTTAGTTTCCTAGTTTCAAGGGCCAGAATGAATAGGGTTATGATTATAGCAGCATTTTCCTTAGGGGAGGGACTGACGAAAACCATTAAAAACCTCGCTCAGGATAGTATGTTTCCTTATGGAGATTCGAATTTCCCTCCTACCGTATTAAAATCCAGGGCGTTATCTCTAGACGAAATTTTCGGTTAAACGTTTGGTATCTGTAATGAAGATTCAATGTATTTTCTGCAAGCGAGGAAACAATCAAGGCCACATGTTCTGTAATTTAGATGAGGGTAGTAAAATGATATAAACCAGTTCGGTCATTTAGTCTATGAATATTCACGGTACTTACCAAGTCCGGCGTCTCCACATCCGACTTGATTACCACCGCTTCCGGATGTGTTCTTGATTTCGTCATCATAACTGTGCTGTCTTGTAACCCTGGACATCCTTCGGGATCTACTCTGTCGCCTCCTCCACGCCTCACCCTCAGCATCGGCATCGTCCGAGCCAACGGTGACCGTCGGTGGTTTCGATCCTGGAGATGCTCGTCCTCTCCCGTTGTGTTCAGAGTCATCTGTAATGTACAGTTGATCATAATGTTTCGAAATCTAAAGTCTAGTCAGAGTCATAATTACTTCACGACTAGCGGTTTACCGCCAATCAATTTGTCTTGGCGACAAGCTCCTCAAGACTCACGACCATTATTTTTTTGGACTAGTTCTTATGAAACATCCTCTCTAATGAGAGGATGGTCTGTCGATAGCGACTGGCTACAGGCTAGACGACCTAGGGGTCGGAGTACGAGTCCCGGTAAGGTCAAGAATTTTCTTTTCTCCACGTCGTTCAGACAGGCTCTGGGGCCCACCCAGCCTCTTATTCAGTGGGTACCGGGGACTTATCCCAGGGAGTAAAGTGGCCTGGGCGTGAAGCTGACCATACACCTCCAACTAGTGCCGAGGTCAAGAAAATGTGGATCTATACAGCCACTCCCCCATATGCCTTCATAGAGTAATGCTTCATTAAGCACAGGGACAACTTAATTTTACTTTACCTACTTACTTACTACTGGTTCTCGCCAGCGCAGTCATTCTCAGGCCCGAGTCCCGCAGGACTCACAACCACATTTTACTGTCTAAGATTCATGACTCCCCCAACCTGGAGGGCCAAGTCCCTGTATTTATATATCCCAGGAACAGGGCTGACCATTTAAACCCCCCGCACTTGCTTCCCTTTTCTCGCCTATGACTCGCAGGGCTACGGAGAAGGTATTCTAACCCGCCTCCACACGGAGTTTTAAAGTCCATGCACTCCAAGTCATGCCTTGTGTAGATAATTTTACAGAAAAGTAGTCCTGTGTAAATATCTGATTGCTGGATAAGAGGTTCTTACAGCGGTGATTCTGAAAGAGTTATATCTTCTGGTATATAGCGCAATGTATTAAGGCGAAAGTCAATCGACGTTTCGGAGAAATATCGCCTCTGTCTTTAGGTTCCAAAATTAAGCCAAGTAAGGACTTAAGACTGGGTTTGCTTTCTGACTGCTTCATGACGGTTTCATGCTTGGCTTAGTCCTCGACTCAGAAAGATTAAGGTGATAGGTTTTTCTCCGAAACATCGGCTGATTTTCACAAGACTACACGGCGTTATATCCCAACAGGGAAAAGTCAAATATGTTTAAATTTCTCGCCAGAGCATGAATACTGGAAGTATGTTGTAAATCAAATGTAGCAGCTTTCTAATGATGAAACAGTCTACACCTGACAATGGTGACCCTCATCTTTGCTTTCGCCTTGATCTTGTTACAAGATCCTCAAACTGAAAATTAGAATTAATTGTTTAAACTACGTCAAACACACAAGACAGACGGAACTCTACATACACTAAGAAAATATCATCTCAACAACCTCACACAGACACAACAACCAAAGAATGACTACTTCTCGCAAGAATTTTATTTTAAAAATTACATTAATAGTTTTAATAAATTAATTTTAACTTTGAGAATCTTGTAACAAGTTCAACATCAAAACAAAGAACAACCCTACAATATGGATCCACATTTGGTTTAGGTTCAGCACTTAAGATGAATCAGCACCTGATGATGACCATTAGGAGTCGAAACATGTTGTGCTTCAGATATACCACCTTCATGTAAATAGATCATCTGTATACTTTTTATAAATTGTTCTGTTGACTGAACTATGAAATAAACATTTTATATACACGACCCAACAATATGCAACACAAATATAAGAAGAAATATTAATTATACGAAGCGACTTTCGTGTAATATTAGATCTAGGTAAGGACTGCAACTGAAGTTGATATATGTTTATTATGTTTATTACTAAGATAAAAAAAGTATGAAGGCCTTGAGGTAAATTTACAGTGAGCATTTGGCTGAGGTTACTTGAATTATATTTTATTACAAAAAATCAAATGGTGCTGCTTTCAGTAGTTTAAAGTTGGTGCTACAGACGGCACGAGTAGGAAATCCCCACGTCGAAGACTATGAAGAACACTAATGTGACGTGCTGCCTGAAAGCTGGACTATAAGACATCCATCGCTACGCAACGGACAATGAGAAAGCATGTTAGCTAGGAAACCGCTTGAAGAACACCAGGTCCTAACACTGGGTTTCCACCGTAACAAAGAAGCTAGCAATATCTAATCAAAGAATTGTTTGAGGCAGTAAAGATGTATTCCCGCTGCAACAAGAGATCCGTTGCTTAGCAGCGAGCGAAACCAAACCCTTCGACAAGGTGTTCCTTATTCAGCCCGAGTGCAGGCTATAACACTCCAACTTCGAAAGGAGACCAGTTAGAATTCTTCCCGTGTGGAGGCGTGGTCGAATACCTCCATCGTGAACCTGCGAGTCGTAGGAGACGACGAAAGGGAAAGTCTCAAATCTGAGACAGTAAAATATGACCGCGAGCCTCAAGGGACTCGGCCCCGAGAAAGATTGCGCTGACAAGGACCAGCAGCATATGTACGTAAAAGACAGACCCGTCCTCTCGTTAGAGAGGGCGCCCCACATAAACAAGACCGTAACTGTCAAACAGTAATAAATATCTGGTCATGAGACCGAGGTGGGGCTCGCCACCAAGACTTACCGACTGACCGACCGTCAGTCGCAATGTGACTTGGACTTGGAGACCAGTTCATATCCGACAAGAGCAGGAGTGAGTCCAGCTTCGAAGAACGAGGTGCTCCACCGAGATTAGCGGTGCACGTGTAACAGTTGAAGAGGAAACGCCAGAAGACCTTATAAGTGCGTATGACTGTATCTGTGAGTGTAAAAAGTGAATGTCCAATAAAGATATTCGCCAAATCGGAAACCCACGTAAATTTTCTTGTCGCGATGCCTAGGAAACACGCCACACTATATTCTTCAATGTGGCGCTATTTAATTTGGTAGAAGTTTCCTTACAATTTAGAGGAACGTCCTACACAAATTCCCACCGATGGTGTCTCCACCTTATCATGGTGGTGAGGTTTGAGTGCTCCTGAGAACCTGAGAGTTATGCCGGCGTAGCGTAGCTACTGGTAGGGTCACCCATGCCGGACAGGTCAAGAGGTAGGAGCCAGATGAAGAGGGTTACCCTGGCCCTCCAGGTTGGGGATGGGGCGTGATGCAGACAACCGCACACCGTAAAAACTAAATTGTTCAGAAACCAGATATCAGCCTCGGATCGATGGACTGAACGGAAATCGACATCAGCGAAGGAGCTGAGATGGTTGGAGGATGTACAGGCTGATGTCCTTAAATGAAAGTGAAAGAAGGGGGAGGAAAGAAGAAGAACAGAGAAGAATGGAGACAGATTGTTCAGGAGGCCAAACCTCACCATAAGCTGCAGCGCCGAGGGAAAGGAAGGGAAGGTCCTACACCAATCTTCAGATTACGGTTCTACCCTGAAGATGTAGGCGGTAGGATCTTCCGAAATTTTTGTCAACTACCACATTACAACATATCATATCCCAGTAAATATACGTAGTTTCCCACAGCTACCACGATTAGCAAATATATACAGAACCGAAAGCAAACAGATTAATGTTTTCGTCGGCATATTGACGACTGTTTTTGTGAGTGGAGACACAGCGATGTTCCAGTAGGAGCAACAGGTGGAATGGGTCTGACCCGGACGCCCCTATCTGCATGCGCGTCATATATGCGTCGTATCGGTGCGGGGTCTCCAACTTTCAACATCGCCAATAAGAAATGTGAAATATATCCATGAAGGAATCTGTTTTCGTAAGAAATATAGTGAGAGGGAACCAATCACATATGCGTTTCCGAGGGGAAATGAATTGTAAGACTCTGTAGAAAGGAATGAAATTGTGTTTGTAGGTTCGTTGAGTAAGTTATCTGCGTGTGTACGGAAGTGCAGACACTGGCTGTGTGAGTATTGCGGTCTGCAGAAACATGTCTGGCAACAGATTAGTGGCTCAACAGGCTGACAAGCTGATAGATAGCTCAATATACTGTCACGTATAGGGTGGTACGCGTGACTAGAATGACGGGTTCTAGCTCGGATGATTGGATTTATCAGCACTTTGGTTACAATCCCTTTTAATCACATTTACTACAACCCTATCGCTGATTTATACGTCACTGTTATACACACACTAGCCTTCTCCTGGTAATACAGAAACATGAGCAGACTGCTTGTACCGGTTCTCACGGTCTCTTCGTTTGCGGGTTTTCTTATTTTTCCTTCTACCCTGAAGATGGAGGCGATACGTTCCTCCGAAACGTCCGTTAACACCACATCTACACGGTGCAACATCCCAGAAGACTGCTTTCTTCATAGTCACCGCCGTGAAAACCTCAAATCTTACATGTGATGATTTTATCTCGCTTTATGAATCAGGTAACATTAAATTTCTAACCAGTCTGAACACATCTGACAATGTTTGCGGAACTCAGTGGTCCTATTTGGATTTTATGTCGTACCATGAACCAGAGTCCTAAAAAGAGTTTAAGTACTCAATTCCATATCTCTCTTACTTCTGAACGGAAGAAAAAAGATTTCTTTTACAGAAAACAAAGAGAATTATTTCGCAGTATTTAATACTTTTATGACTTAATAAAAGTGGCGAAAAGTGCCCTATACTTTCCACAATAAAATTTATGTTTATTGATGGCAGTGTAGATTATGCCCCTTAATGTCTGTTCCATGTTGAATCACTGTATTCCCAGACACTGAGATGACCCGGAAATAGTATGAGAATGAAGAAAACGAAATTATGTAAAAATAATGCTTATGCTTAAGTACGTGTATATAATATACAATTTAAATATTATAAAAGTGTAACTTAAAAAACGAGGAATTTTCATTCCCCCCTCTCCTCTGCAAAGATCTCTTGGTTTTGAAACAACTTGATGGATTTACCAAACAATAAAACGAACAAACAAAAAACAACAAACCCCATTGTCTGTAGTCCACAAGCGAACTATACCGACCGAGCGACCGCCGCTTGTCGGCGAAGTTAGTGCCAACTTTTGCGGATAGAGGGTGTCACGTGGTCAGCGCAAAGAATCCCCACGGCCGTTAATCTCGGTTTTCTAAACCG